TATCAATATGTAAAGCAATGAAGTGTAACTGATGTGATTCTGCAAGCTGTATACGGGGTAAAATGGGAGTTCATAACCCGCTTGAATCAAAATGTGAAATATGATATATCAAGAACTATGTAATGTTTTGAACAACCAACATTAAAAAAATAAATAAATTAAAAAAAATAAATTTATTTTGAGACAGGCTCTTGAAATTTTAAATTCCACATGCTGGCCTTGAACTTGAGATCCTATTGTCTCAACCTCCCAAGTAGCTGGGATTACAGAAGTGTGAACTGTGTCTCACTAAAAACAACTTATAATACTATATTTTGCTGCCTCTTTATATCATAAACCCTTTTCCCTTCTATTATTCACTTTTATTACTTCTTTGGCTGTTTTATTTTCTTTGACATTTCTCAGTTTTGATATGAGAAGAATTTGGCTTTTCTCTCTTCTGGAAGACGAACCTATCAATAACAAAGAGTTGTGTGTAGTCATGTCACAGATAAAGTATTATGTACCTATTCCAGGCCAGGCCCCATTCCAGGCACAAAGAAACAAACAAAACAAAGCCCCACCCTCATACAGTTTGCATTCTAGTGAAGGGGGCAGACAATGAGAAAAGCAAGTCATGTGGGATTGGGTGTTAAACAACAAAACAAATGAACAAGGGTAGGGGCAATTGAGAGTGACATGATGGGCGGGGGACCTGTTATTTATCTAAAGTGATCTGAGAAGGCATGTCTTAAAAAAAAGAAGGGATATTTGAAAAGAGAATTTAAGGACATTTGTAGCATAAGTATATTAAATAGAAAAGAACAAGTACAAATGAGCTGACAGAGCATGCCTGGCCTGTTAAAGAAACAGGAAAGAGATCAGTGGGGGGAAAGAAAATAAGTTTTTTTTTTTTTTTTTTGCTGAATGTTTATTGTTTTTGCCATGGTTTACTCCTCAAATTTAGATTTGAACAGATACAGATTCCAACTTATCTGAAAGGGTGAGAGTGTTTTAAGTTTAGTAGACAAGTAGAACAGTTCTAAATAAAGTAATAATATGCAGTATAGCATTTTGGCTGAAAATAGGTTTGTAAACAGTCTAAAATTACAGATATATTACCTGGTTTTGAGCCAGGGAAGGTGGTGAAGAGGGAATACTTAAGAACAAGGTCCAGTTTTTAGTCCTGGCTCCAACACCTACTTTCTATAAGTGATTTTTTTTTTAATATTTATATTTTAGTTGTAGATGGACAGAATCTCTTTATTTCATTTTTATGTGGTGCTGAGGTTTGAACCTAGTGCTAGGTAAATACTCTACCAATGAGCCACAACCCAGCCCCTGCATATATCCTTTTATTCTAATTTTATAATGAAAAAAAAGCATAGTGGCTTTTAGAGAAAAAATGTTGGTATTGGAAATCCTAAGTTAAACAACTTTTCTGCTATTTATTAAATGTGTGTCCTTATACAAGTCACTTAAAAGACTGTTTCCTTATTTGTAAAAAGAAAATAAAAATATCTACTTCATAACATTAAAGGACAACCTATGCATGTGAAAACAATTTGTATACTACAAAATATTAAATTAGGATATTTTTAAAGTATGCTTAGTTTACTTTATTGAATTTCATGTGTTTTCAAAATTTAATTTTTTTTTTTGGTTTACCTATTTATTTGCAGTTAAGAGTTATATGCAGAATTTCAGTTCTCCATTTTAAGCTATGCAAATTTTAAAATTAACTATATTTTCAATTATGCCACAAAATTTTATGTATATATACATATATATATATACACACACACATACATATATACACATATACATATATCTCTCTCTAAACCTGAAGACCTCAAAAAGAATGAGAATGAGGATTTTCATTTTAACTTATTAAATGACCTGTTTGCAATAAAAAATTTGGGCACTTAGTGAAAATGATTTGAAAGGATAATTAGCAATTATTACATATACATATAAGTATATATACATATACATATATACAATTGTTAAATAACTTTTAGTTCAGTTTATTTTTTTATCTATTTTTGTTTCCTGAGTCTCTACTGCTTACTTAAATCACTGAATGTGAAACACTCAGCTGTATATTTACTATGAAATTATTGGTATTCGTCACTGTAGGTTTTGATGACTGCACTAGGGAAAGACTGCTTTATATTTCTGTATCATATTGCTAGTCATTAGAGTCCTTATACTGCTGAACAGTAATTTAAAATGCAATCCAAAAGAAGTATCAAGTCTTTAAAACATCTTCAATTGTCTTCAAAAGGAATTTACAAGAGATTTAACAGAATGGAACTTACTCCATGCCCTGTGCAGTTTGCCGTGCAATATCTATAAGTTTGATCATTTCAAATTTGGTCTCAATGATGTGGAGATGGTGATATAAGCTGGAGCCCTCACACCACTGGGTAACAATAGCTAGTTGTGGCTTTGTGGAATAGCCCATGAAGAGTAGGATATTCACATGTCGTGTTTTCCTGTAAAAGTAAAGTGATGGTAAATAGTAAATGCCAATAAACTTTAGCAATTCTTAAAAGGGAGTCAAAGTAGTCAAGCAGTAAGATGAACAGAAAGTGGTATTAAAAAAAAAAAGCATTATAAGTATACATTTAGATGAATTATCTAATTAATTATCTATTCATCCATCCTATTCAGAAATGTCTTTTTTAAAAAAATATATCTGACAAGTAAGCAGAGGTTGCTTAATACCTTGAATTTATGGGAAGCTCACTAATTGAATAGAGCTACCCTACCCGCTTTTCTGCTTAAATGGTTCTAGTATTAGAAAGTTTTCTTGTGAGACAAAATCATTTTCCTCCAACCTCCACAACTTTCTTCCCTTTTCTGCTCTCTGGAATATAAGGTAGCAACTCAGTATCCTTTTAAATCTAAGTCTTCTCTGGATTAAATATCCTCAGTTTTGTTGACTCTCTGTCTTTCCAAATTACAGTTCTAGAATCTTCCCCATTTAAGTTGTCCTATTTTGAACTTACTCTCATTTGTAAATGTTCCATAAGTTCTAGGCACAGGAGTAAATGAAATCTCTAAAAGATATTCTGAAACACTTAGAATTTTGAGAGCATTATTTCCATAAGTGAAACTACTATTTCACATGGTCACATACTATATTTTCATTACTTCAGTCTAGAATTAAGTTTTCTATCAGCTATACCAAATAATATGAATACCACTTAAAAGAATAAGCTGAAAGAAAATTAGACATCCTATGGCTCTATATACTTATTCATTTTGAGTAAATTGTAAAGCTAATAGTGGCTACCACCAGAAAACAGGAGCTAATAATAATAACTTCTTTCCTCCTAGAAACAGTAATTTGCATACGCTCACCTGAGTACTCCTACTTCATTTTTGAAGGCCTGTAACTGTTGAGGTGTGGGTGCTGTCACATTCAACATTTTCACTGCCACATCACCTAAAAGGTAATCATCATTCCAAATGTCATTCCAATTTAAAAAATTTAAAACTATAAAACATTCTTGGGGATTTCCACTAATTATAATAACTGTAAATCCATAACACTGTTAAACTACAAATAAATTATGCCTAACTGTCTAAACTGTATTAATTTTTGAAGGATAAAAACAAAATTAACAGCAATACTCCTATACTAGTATTTCAAAAGACCAACCCCCAAAATAGACAACCTTGTTTTCCCTGGAAATTTAGTTTAAGTAAGTACCCAGAGTATTTTTCCAATTATTTAACAATACTCAATGAGATATATTTACTAAATGAACACTGAAACTAGAGATAAGAGTCCCAGTGGAGCTTGGCTTAAAGTTGAAAACTTCGAACTTCTTTATCAGAGCAGTTAACATTATGTACAAAGTTATGGATTATTTATGATGCTTTTCATTAGAAAAATGATTAAAATTATAGCTAATTAAAAAAAGTTTATGTAAGATAGCCATAACTCTTACACACTACCACTAAAAGTGAAAATTGGTACAACCATTTTGTAATATTGCTGGTAGTATCTATAAAACTGGACATATGCACATCATATGGTCCTACAATTTTCTCCAAGGTATGTATACCCAGCAAAAATAGATTTATATGTTCTCTGAAAGATATAAAAAAAATTCATAGCAACATCATTGGAATAGCACCAAACTGGAAACCATCCAAATGCTCATTACACAGTAGATGGAAGAAGAAATCAGCTTACACATTGAAAGAGAATGAATGACTTCCAACAACAATACAGATGAATCTTGCATACAACATAAGGGGCCAGACACTGAAGGGTACATGCTGTATGATTCCTGTTGCAGTCAGGTTGGTAGCTAACCTTGGGGGAGGAGTGACTGGAAAGGGGCATCAGGGGAGCTTCTAGTATGACAATAATGTTCTGTTTGTTGATCATGGCTATCTATTCACTTTTTGAGATTTCAGCTACTTGTATACTTACATGCACTTTTTAATATGTACATTAAGCTTTTATATATATATATATATTATTGATTTCTCTTAATTATCAATATAATACAACATTCATTTTATCAGTGGTACCATATAACTTACCTACACTTAAAACCAATGTTTAAAAACATTTTGAAAGCACCCAGAAAAAAATTACCATAATGCCACTCACTGACATTTTATATATGAATGATAAGGCTTATATATGAATGCAGTGTGAATATTTATGAATATATAAAAAATGAGAAATACAGTAAAATTCTGATAGAAATTTTTTATATTATATATATAACATATATGGGGTATTACACATGCTGCTTTTATACAATTTAATACACCAAAGACACCTTCCATATCAATAAATGTAATTCTAGCATATCATTTGAAAAATCCTATACAATCATGTATGGATCCAATTTATTTATCTATTTATCTAATMGTTTTTTAATTTTCATTTTGCATTCTTACTAAATCTTTGATGAATATACTTTTATACGTGACTATTCATTCCTGTCCCATTACTTCCTAAGGATGTCATCAATATACATATTCCCAAATTATATATAATAATAATATTTATAATAATACAAATAATGGCTCAATACACATACTGCCAAATTGTCTTATAGAAAATTTGTAACAATTTATTTTCCCACCAGCAGCACTACAATCATATCTCTAAATATGGTCAATTTAAAAAAATTTGTTCATTCACTGGGCGTGATGACACACACCTGTAATTCCAGCAGCTCAGGAGGCTGAGGCAGCCTCAGCAGTTTAGCAAGGCCCTAAGCAACTCAAGGAGACCCTGTCTCCAAATAAAATACATATTTGAAAAAAGGGCTAGGGATGTGGTGCAGTGGTTAAAGCTCCTTGGTTCAAACACTCGTATTAAAAAAACAAAACAAAACAACAACAACAAAAAACAGAAACCAACCCAGATTTGGGGGAACAGCTAATCTGGAGAATCTTAATTTTAAAAAATTATTACTGCAGTAAGGCGAAGTGCCACATGCCTGTACTCCCAATTACTCTGAGGCAGGAGAGCTACAAGTTCAAGGCTAGTCTGGGTCACTTAATGAGACCCTCTCAAAATAAAAATAAAAAGGGCTGGGCATATAGCTCAGTGGGAGAACAACTGTCTAGTATGGGCAAGGCCCTGGGTTTGATCCCTAGCAACACAAACACAAATAAATAAATAATTAGTAATATAATGAAAGGAGTCCTGATTGCTGTGAACCTAGGTTTTATTTCCCATAATTCTTGTTACAGTTTGGGAGAACTTCTGCATCTGATGAAAATGATGCAAATAGTGAGTATTCTTTGATTTTTAAAAATAAAAATGGTTACACATATACTATTACTGTGAGACTTGTGACTATGTCAACAATATTAACATACATACCATGCCATTTTCCCTTGTAGACTGTTCCAAATGATCCAGATCCAATTCTTTGTCCCACTGTGATCTGTCCATCAGGAATCTCCCAATCATCACTTGAATCCCGTCTACCAAGTGTTTTCTTGATAAAAATAGTGCAAAAGTCAAGTTAGGCCAACCAAACAAAAAGGGGAAACCTTATGTTCCATGTGAAGTATATTAACCTAAGCCTGAGAGGAGCAAGATGAGGAAGATAATATCACTTCTTTCACCAAAAGCTGAAGAAATAATAGTTAAAAGTATGACTAGGAGCTGGGGTTGTGGCTCTGTGGTAGAGCGCTTGCCTACCATGTGTGAGGCACTGGTTTGATCCTCAGCACCACATAAAAATAAATAAAATAACTATCTATCAACAACTAAAAAAAAATTTTWAAAAATATGACTAAAAATACAAAACAAAATTAAGACAAGTCAGACTTGGATAGAAACAATTTATTTAGAAATGAAAATTATTTATTGAGCATGTGTGAGAAATGCCTATTATTAAAATTAATAAGAAAAACCAGCTTTGTATTATTTGGAGGATTATAAGGGCAAGATAAATATTATGTATTTATGATAAGTTTTTGCCTCCAAATACCTAAAAATTTAACCTAATATGTTGTAGTAACAGGAAACAATTTTTCTAGTTACTTTTTTCTAGTCAGAATTAAATTTTCTCATAGATCTGAACTGGTATCTCTAAAAAAAAAAAATCTATCTATCTATCTATCTATATCTCCAATTATTTTCGTAGGGTTAAAGGATCATCTTCCCAACAAGTAGCAGAAAGTTAATTTTTCAAATAGGGAAAAATGTCACTTGGTAGATTTTTGAATTGTAGTTCAGCCTTTAGAATATGTATGCTTAATCATGCTTTCCAAAAATTTATTTACTCTTTTTTCCTTATTTTATTTTAGGTACTGGGGTTTGAACCCAGGGGTGCTTTACCACTGAGCCACGTCCCTCAGCCCTTTTTATTTTTCATTTTGAGACAGGGTCTTGTTTAGTTACTGAGGCTGGCCTCAAACTTGCTATCTTTGTCTCAGCTTCCTGAGTAGCTGGGATTACAGGTGTGTACCACTATGCCTGGCTCTTTTTTCTTATTAGAAACAGAATGCTACGGTTACTCTTCCAAAACTGCCTTTTACATTAGAGATGAAAATGAAAATTGGTGTTGTGGGAATATGCTTAAGCAAAAATCAACTGTTAAATTTGATAGGGGAATTTTTTATCATATACAGATATAACATATCTAAAAGTGACATTTATGTGGCTCTGATTTCAAAAAAGAAAGGACTCCAGTGAAAAAAAAAGATAAATATTCTTACCATCCTATTCCTGTCTTCTGAGGAGGAAGATGACTTCCTTTCCCGCTGAGGTCCTGGAGATTTCTGTAAGGCTTTCACATTAGTGAGTGAGCCTGGTAATGAGGCAGGTGGGGTTGCAGACAAACCTGTGGTTGATCCTAAATTAGGGAAAATGTATCCATTAAGGAGGAGCAAGGGAGCGAGTTCCTTTATCAGGGGGTGTACAAAGTGCAAGGGGGGACTTAGATTTGGACTTAAACTTGCTATTAAAATGTAGTATATGTTCAAATACTGACCTTTTGAAAAAAACAAGTCAAAAGAGGCCTATTGGTGATTAGTACTAATTTTTTTTTTAGTTTTCTGGCCAACTTAATTACAGTTTTAAAACATCTAATGATAGATATATTATTGGTTTAACTTTTCCTAGTCCAAAGTCTAATTTAAAAAAAATTTGTCTTTGAAGAAAAATTTAAAAAGTAAAGTCAATTAAAAAGCCTATATAACACATTTTTAAATAGAAACTTTTAATTGTATTACCTCAATAGCCAATCAATATTAAAAAATATGGAAACCCCCAAATGGAAATATTTTCTAATGTTACCTTAATATTGAAAATATAGGGCTTGTTCATATTAGCCACTAATATTTAAATATAACCCCAAACTATAAGCTTTACTACTTAAGAAATATTGATCAGTGTCAGTAGTTCCTGGAGGTTTTTTTTTTTTTTTTGACTAATATAGATTATTTGTTACCTTTATAACAAAATGACTATAAGCAAAGCCAAGTAGGTTTCCTTAAAATTTTCTGAAAATCTCTGCATTTATAAGTGAGTATAAAGTAAATGTTATGGCCTTTTAGGCAAGTTACTACAAATGCCAATATTTTGTAGGCCAAGTAAGCCCAAGGAGTACTCTTTGGAAGTGGACTCAGTTGGTAAGATTAGAACCTTTCTGATGGGCACATTTCCAAATACTGACTCAGTGGTAAACATCCTAAGTCTATGTATAGTGCATCTGGTTCAGAGGGGCTCAGGACAATGAGTCAGGCTTGAATACAGCTGAATAGGACCAGGATTTCTAGGCAATATTTCTATATATATATATGTGTGTGTGTGTGTGTGTGTATATATATATATATATATATATATATATATATATATATATATATATACTTCAGGAATATATACATATATATACATATATATATATACATATATATATAGATATATATATTTTTTTTAAAGATTACAACTCATATGGTAGAGATGAGACCATAGTTTTTCAAAGAACAAGGATATTAAAAAAAAAAACAAAAAACATTTCAATGTTAAATATGGGCTGGGTACAGGGGTGCACCCTGGTAATACCAGGGACTCAGGAGGCCAAGGCAGAAAGATTGCAAGTTTGAGGCCAGCCTTGGTAACTTAGTGAAACCCTGTCTCAAAATAAAAACGAAAAAGGACTAGGGATGTAGCTCAATGGTAAAGCACCCTAGGGTTCAATTTCCAGTACCAAAAAAGAGAAATATCTTAATCTTTCTAAGTGATTATCCCACATTGCTCCTTCCTTTCTTTAAAAAAAAAAATTCAATCTGGGTAGAAATTTTACCATTGTTACATCATACTATAATAGCATGTGAAATTTCCATGCTCTCACAGGCAGTTTTCTAAAATAAAATGGTGTCTAACTTGTCTTTTAATTAGAGCACAATCCATTTTCTGCCTGCCATTGATATTTTCAACACCATATAGTCTTAATCGCTTACCCAGGTGACATAGTTCTGGTCTACTTAGTAACATTTTATTCCTTAATTTAATCATATTATTCAGTACTGGATGAACTTCCATCCCATTTCATGGATTTTTCTGAGAAACAGCTGGCTGAGAGAACAAAACTGAAAACACCATTGCTACATGGTGGAATGTGATGGACATTATCTAAAGTACATGTATGAAGACACGAATTGGTGTGAATATACTTTGTATACAACCAGAAATATGAAAAAATTGTGCTCTATATGTGTAATAAGAATTGTAATGCATTCTGTTGTCATATATAAATAAAAAAATTAATAAAAAAAGTAACAGGGGGCTGGGGATGTAGCTCAGTGGTAGATTGCTTGCCTACCATGTGTGAGGCACTGGGTTCGATCCTCTGCACCACATAAAAATAAATAAAATAAAGATATTGTATCCATTTACAACTATTTTTTGAAAAAAGTATCGATCAAGAGCCAGTAAATATAATTCCTTTTTTGTTTTTTTTTTGCAGTACTAGGGTTGAACATAGTAGGGATGCTCTACCACTGACCTAGCCAGGGCCCTTTTCGTTTTTTTTATTTTGATAGGCAGGGTTTCCCTAACTTGCTGAGGCTCTCTTGCCTCAGCTCCTTAAATTGCTGGGATCACAGGTATACACCACTGCACCCAGATAATTCTTTAAAAAAAATATTTGTAGCCAGACATCTGTACCAACTTTGACTTCAAATTTTAAAAAGTCAGTTTAAGAACTAAAATATGGCAAAATAAAAGGCAGAGTAAAATTATACTGCTAACTTTTTCTTCCTATTAAGGTATAATTAGAGTATAACTACTCTGAGTTTCTGAAGTATTCTGAAATATCCAAAATATATGATAAATCTTTCTGTTTTAAAAACAATTCCCTATTTTTTCATAAAATATACACATCCCATATTGGGGCAAAGAACGAAAGAAAACAAAACCCAAAACACATTGCTGATATTACAAAATTAAAAAAAAAAAAAGCCAAAAGCCTAACAAAAATATTTTTAATAGGGGTTTCCATTTATATTTCAATTTTCTTAAAAACCACAAAAATTGTTAACAAATAGTTAATCAAAGTCATCACCTACATTAAAATTTAAGGAATCCATATTGAAGATCCCTCCCATCTTATTTGTTCCCACCCACTGAGTTTAAGTTATCAAGACCAAGATATAATAGTATAACAAATAACAAGATGGAAAATCTCAGCTCAGATTTTTTTTCTCTCTTAAAAATTTATGACAGACAGCATACAGAAAACTTGTAGTAGTGAATATGTGTGAGAAGCACATTCAGAGCATTCCAGCCAGGCCAAGCAGAAATTCAGTACTGAAAACTCTCACACTTACAAACACACGCTGTGAGGGTGAGGCACAAACAGCATCTGTAGTTTATATTTAGTTTGCTTTGGGTGAAAACAAGAAAGAAGAGCCCAACTACCTCTGAACACTGGGCCAGGCTCAAAATCAAACACTATTTCACTGGGGACAGAATGTAGGAGGGGACTGGGAGTCCGGGATTGGTATTTCCGAAGACAGCGCATCAGCTGGTTCAAGGGGGCTGTTAGAAGAGAAAGAGAGGGGCAGGCAAACACAGGAAGACAGACACACAGAAGAAATGAAAGAAGTCATGGGGAATAAATAAGATGAATTGAAGCCCGCTTCACAAAATAATTCTGGACTTTTTTCTTTAACCTGCTTATTTTTATAAAATCCCAATCATTTTTTAAAAAGTGACTCATAAAAAGGACAAGAAATGCCACTTGATTTTAGATTCTAAGCAGGCAGTGTTTATGACAAAGTTAACTCTGTGATGCTAACATGATGGCAACATTTAAATGCTTGATGTATTGGGCAAGATTATCAAAAGCCACAGCTATTAAGACATATGAAAGTCAAACTGGCAGCAACATTAAATTGGCAGGTTCATGGAATAACAAACAGAAGAAAAACCCTTTGTATAACTATGTGCTCTAGTCAATACCAAGTCCAGAGTACATAATGCAGGCTTATTATTTTGGTAGCTTCATAGGTGTACAGAAATATAACAAAAGATGGTATATACAATGTTTACTTAGAAAATATCTCTGAGTCTGGGCTTAGATATTTTGAAGATACAGAAGGTCACAATGAAGAGACCAGCTCTGTCCGTGATACTGCAGGTCTTCCTTATTAGAGAAGTACAGAGGACCTCCTGCAAGAAAACTTCAAGGCAGTCTTAAATACCATCTCTGAGAAAACATTAAATGGGATAAATTCTTATAAAAAATTTTTTCTTAAGCAATGTTTCTTAAGTTAAAAATTCTGAAAGATACAGCAATTTCTTGTTTGCTTGCTTTATTTACTAGACTAATCCAAGGGTGAGCTTTTCCATTCTGGGCTAGCTATTCAATAAAAGGTACATTTCAAACACTTCCAGAAAGTTGAAGGGAAATGTCTGACAAACTAAGGAGCTCTGGCAGGCAATCCAAGTCATGATTTAGCAAAATAAAGTTTTAAGTATGAATGGAGGACCCCAAAGGAAATTTATCAATTTCTGTTTAAGAGAGGTAGAAGTTAACGAAGTGGTTAAAATAATTAAGGATCTCTTCTTGATGCAATATTTAAGTTACAGATGGTACATTTAAGACTACCTTTTGTGTTTTCTCATTTCCTATTCATGTCAAGAATTAGTTAAAATTAGCAATAAATGATAAATACTACAAAAATTTGGGTTTTCGCTACTTATTTTTCTCTGTGTCTGTGTTTCATGAAAGAAGCAAGTATAAAGGAGATAAGCAGCAAAGCAATTGCATTTTTTCCTGAGCATTTTTTTTTTTTAAACTGAACTCACTACTTACCTCCATCACCACGAAACCCTTGGTCTCTAATCAAGTCCTACAAATAAATAGTAAAGTATATTTATTCAAAGCATATGGTAAGAAAATAATAGCAACACTGAATTTTCACTCTACATTAATAGAAAGGTTAATTCAAAATAACACCTGTCTTATAATTACTTCACAAAACAAAGAATATGAAATTAGCTAGTGGACATGATAAAAATCTAAATTTTGAAGTACTTGTCAACCTAACCCTATAACTGAAAGGATTTTTAGTCCTGATCAAATGCTGAAATCCATTTCAGGCCATTCAAAACCAACGGCTTCATCAATCCTTAAAGAAAATTCTACTGGCACATATTAAGAGCCATAAAAATGTTCATACCCTTTGATCCTGTAATTCCACTTCTGGGAATTTTTCCTAAGGAAATAATTCAGAAGAAAAAATGATATGCACAAAGATGTTTAGTGCAGCATTATCCATCATACTAAAAAGTCAGAAATAATTATTTCCCAATGATTGGCATTTTGACAAATTATGGTTAAGTAAGTTATGGAGTATCAATTTAATGAAGTATTATGCAACCATGAAAACAATAATGAAGATTAAATCATGAAACACATTCACAATAAGATGAAAAATACAAAGTTAAAAGTACACTGAATACCATCATAAAATATGGATGCACAAGGACATACTACAAAAGAGGGAAAAAGATCGAAATAGCTCAAATAAGAATTTTATTAAATTTATCATTGTTATTAAAATACAGTTACAACAGTGTTAGTAGTAGGGAAGTCACTCTGTTGTACAATTTGGACCTTGATAGGCAGAACTTGGATTAGTTTGCTTACTCAGTTTAATTTAAATGTGAGGGATTGAATGGCCCCAAATGTATCTAAATAGGCCCTTTGCCAACAGGCAGCTTTTTGTTTGCTAGCTAAAACAAAGAATATTATTTATAGGTATATTTCTGTCATGTTCAGTGTATCACATAAAGTCTTCAACATTTTCTACAGAATAATCAATAAATACGCATATAAAACTTCAAACAAGGTGCTAGGTATTAGGGGTATCGCTACCAATAAATACAAAATTCTGGTAGTCTCATTAACTTTCTGTGGTTTTGAAAATTTATACTCATTGTAAGAGAAATGTACACTCATGAAAATTAAATGATATAATTATAACAACTTAAAATATTATAGAGGAGATATCAGTTTGTTGCTAAGTTACTGTCAACCAAGTGCTTTTGGCAATAAGATTTTTAGTCCTACATAAAGGATTTTATCATTGGGGAAGCATTTGAAGAAATGTCTGAGGGAGGGTTGGAAAAACAGGAGTATAGTTAAGGGCCTTCTAGACACAAGGACACATAAGAGAAAGGCCATATCCCTTTCTTTTCGCTGCATCTACCCGGAAACTTACAACAACTATGAACTGACCAAATTTGGCTTTCTCCACTCTTACAACCTACAGCTAGTACCAACATAAACTTGCATTTTTCAGTTTCAAATGTGTTCTTAAAACTCCTCGACAATCTTTTTACTTGTTCCAGGTTAAACAGGACGTTCTAGTTTCCAAATCTGATTATTTCAAACTTTCTCCCACTCTCTTGTAGTTTCTTCTCTTACATTTCTTTCCTTCAGCATGATAAACAAAACCATCAGAAGAACTTTTGGTCCTGCCTTTACATCCATAAATATTTGTATAATAACATAAGCTATAATTTCTGAATTCTTATGTACTGGGCATAAAAAGAAGTGTCTAGGTAGGCACTATTAGTTGGATAATAAAGTCATACAGTTTGTAGAGAGCTATATCCATCCATCTTTACTTCCTCATAGTTTGTGTAGGACATCATTATCTATTCTTCCTCTTCTTTCAATTCCCTCCTTTACTACTATACAGTATAATGGGTAAGCATAAGAAAGGAAGGCCAGGTTCAAATATATTTATCAGCTGTGTGTTGTGGTCTTGGTGTACTCTTTAATCTCTGTAAATTTATCATCCTCTCTCACTCTTACTTTATTCTAATTTTCTTAACAGTGAACTAAAGATAATAATAGTACTTAACCCATGAATTTATATGAAGCTAGAACAAGAAAATTTATTTATAGCACTATCAGAGTATCTGGTACACAGTAAGCATTCATAAGTAGTAGCCATTTTACAGATTCTTAGGAATCTTATCTTGAATTCACTAATTTATAGTCTCCTTTCCTTCAACTCACTATCTTGACACCATTGCTACAACTTCAGTTTCAGCTTTTACTGGCTCTTGTTTAGAATACTGCAAAAGCCACATTATTGACAATCTTGCCTTTAGATGCAATACCCATTCATCTATCCTCCATGTGACCACTTTTTCGAAAGTCTAGAGCTGATATCTCATACTCCTAATTCCCTACCTGGTATACTTAATAAATTCCTACTCATCTTTAACAATCTGGCTTCAATGTTATCCTTTCTCTGCTAAATATTCCTACATCCAATGAGGTAGAGTTTATTATTCTCTAAACTCTCATTAGATATTTTGTGATTATTTATTTGTATCTCTGATTCATCCACTAAAACTGTGACTTCTTTAAAGGCAAAGACCATGTCCCAATTCATCCTTAATTACTAATTGCCTAGCTTAGAGTCAAAAGTACATCTTTTTAGTGGGATAATAGGTGACTGAACATGAATGAAATTCATACTTTATCTTGTAATCAATGGTAAATCACTGAAAATTTTTTTCAATATTTTCTAGTTGTTGATGGGCCTTTATTTTTTTATATGTGGTGCTGAGAATCAAACATAGTGAGCCACACAAGCTAGGCAAGCGCTCTTCCACTGAGCTACAACTCCATCCCCTCAAAGTTTTAGAATAAAGTAAAAGAGGATGATAAATATGTTATGAAAATTATCCTGATGATAGTATAGATAAATCAATGGAAGGAAATCCATTTAGGAGATAAATGTAGTAAGTACTTCAAGCGGGAAATATAAATTTAAATGGTGGTGGCAATAAGTGAGAACCAGTTTGAGACACACATGAAAAGGAAAAGCTGATTATGAGAAAGAGGAAAAGGCAAGATACAGAGTGACACTTTGAAAGTTCAATTATGAGAGACCAGGAGACTAGTAGTCACAAGCAGAGAATAAGAGAAACAATTTAAAAGGACGTTAGTTTTAAAAGTAAAGATAACAAAAGGCTGAGGCAGGATTGTCAAGTTGGAGGCCAGCCTCAGTAACTTAGTGAGGCCCTAAACAAGTTAGCGAGACCATTTCTCAAACAAAACAAAACAAAGGTTTGGGGATGTGGCTCAGTGGTTAAACATCACTGGGTTCAATACCTTGCACCCCCCAAGCCCCTCAAAAGTAGTAAAGATGAAGATTAAAATTTTGGATACAATCAGAACAAACAGAGATTAGAAATATAGTTTGATTTCTTATTTCACAATCTCCTTATTCCCATATTTTCCTCCCCTATTTACTAGTTAAGGAAAAATGGCACAAGAGGAAAGCCACTTACTTGAACCACCAATGGAGAAAAGGTTTTATAGTAAAATATGGGAAGAAAGTCTGATTTTTGGATGAAATTAAAATTTATGATAAAGTTTTATTTATTTATTTTTTTGGTACTGGGTTTTAAAACCCAGCAGCACTTATAACCACTGAGCCACATCCCCAGTCCTTTTCATTTTGAGATAGGTTCTCACTAAGTTGCTTAGGGCCTTACTAAATTGCTGAGGCTGGCCCTTTACTTGGAATCCTCTTGCCTCAGCCTCTTGAGCTGCTGGGATTACAGCCATTATACCCAGCTTGTAATAAAAGTTTTTGTTTTTAACATTTAATAAAATTTAACTTATAGTTTCAACTATAACTAATTCTTTTTTTAATATTTATTTTTTTAGTTGTAGTTGGACACAATACATTTATTTTTGTTTATTTATTTTTATGTGGTGCTGAGGATCGAACCCAGAGTCTTGCACGTGCTAGGTGAGTGCTCTACCGCTGAGCCACAACCTCAGCCCTAGACTAATTCTTAAACATACAAAGAATCAAGTTTTGTGGTTAGAATGCCAAGCTTATGGCAGTACCATTTGAAACTGTTAATTTCATATATAACTTTTACAGCATAATCATAATCAATTTTATAAGAATTTTAGAGAAGTTCATGCATTCCCAAGGACCTCTATCAATCCTTTTGATATTTACACTATTTTCATTTGAAGATAAAACTTTTACAGGGATAGTGTCATTAAGGAAAATGTCAGAGTAACTCTAGTTTGGCACCAGTGAAGTATTTAATATCATCACAGAATCTGACAGGCTTTTCTGAACTATGATTCATATAAAGCCTAGTATTTAAAATAAATGATAAATGAAAGATGACACTTGTTTCTGATCTACCTTATAATTATAACAGGAAAATAAAGAAGCAGATCTGAAATTTCAGTTCTAGCAATGCTATATACTTACATCAATATTGACAGGTTCTATTGTGTTTATATGCACATTGGGAGCAGATGAGGATCGGTCTCGTTGCCCAAATTGATTTCGATGATCTTCATCTGCTGGTCGGAAGGGCTGTGGAATTGGAATGGATTTTGAAGGAGACGGACTGGTGAGAATTTGGGGCCTGGAAAAATCAAGTCATTGAAAGATAAGATAAAGAGCAACTGTACAGAGACAATAATATTAAATAATGAAAGATATAAAGATTTTGTTTATCAGAAAAATCTTTAAAATAAAGCACTGACATTCCAGCTGAAATAGCTTTATAAGAAACATTAAAGAGGACTAACAGACCTACAACTAGAACTGCCAAAGTTGCTATGTTCAAGCAGAACCTTCAGAAAATATCAACAAGAACACTTGATTCTTACCCAGAAAACTTAAAGGAAATCTACAAACGACTAGAAATTACCAATGATTAATCAGCTGAAGAAGAGGGTCTTCTTTTTAAAATTATAGAAAAATGTTCTAGTTAAGAGATTGAATAAAATCTATTTTTTCTAACTTTGCATTTCTTGAGAGCTGAAATTACTTAAATGAAAAAATTTATGAACAATATTAGGAAGTTATAAATATTTTGGGAATGTAATCTGTACACTTCAGGACCTGAAAAATGTACCTGCTACCAAACACATAAGTTGTATGAAAATTCTAAACAATATCAAAAGATCATTTCCAAATTCAGAAGATGATCTTCACAGTGCCAGGACTTTTCTCATTTTGAAATTTTTATCATTCTCAATGATTGATATCAAAGACATAAGAGAATCATAAAGATTAAAGCATTTATTTTTTAAAAACTGGTTTTTAATCAAACCACCAAAATAGGTTACAGGGTGACCTACTTTGATACTGTAGATAAATAAGGAAGTATGATTTTTCACTGGCCCTAAAACAAACTTGACACAAAAACCCTAAAGTTCTGAGGATAGACCATAGCACCTGTAAGAAGCCTATGTTCCTCAGAAAAGATATCTACAGTAGGAGCAGGGAGGATCACTTGGTAGAAGATGTGGCTGTCTCACTGAACTCCACCATCAGGACCAATGAAGTGCTAATAAGCTCTTTACCTATATTTGTTATCATTCCACCCATCTTATGAAAGCTTTCTAAATGATCAGCATTATTTAATAGTTATTAGGCCAGAAAGGCAATGATGAGGGAATAAAGCATTTTGTGACAGGAGAGGGTTTGGAGAGGAATGGTAAGAAAATATAGAAGGAAAAGAAATGTATAAAGGTTTGAAAAGGAAAGAAAGTTCAGTAGTGACAAAATCCTCCAAATAAAATGTCAACAGAATCTGAACCATGCCAGTTTACATCCTTACTTCTCTTTTTCATTTTATTTTTTTTCATTTTGCTTTTTTTTATTAGTTGCTCATGACAATACAATGATCTTGACATATACATTTGAATCAAATGGGGTATAAATTCTAATTTTTACATTCTTACTTCTCTGAGCACACAAAAAAGCACAATTATTAAGGACAGGAGAAAATTTTTGACTTTGCATGCTCATTTTAATTACATGAATTCATATATAACTGATATATAAATAATAAGACATTAGGTACTAAAAATTATTATCAGCCTAATTATAGGCAAGACTTATGGAACTAAATTTTGGGAAAATTAGCATGTTTCACTTGGGTCCTTTTTATGCTTTCTGGTTATTGAGAAACATTTGGTTTGTGACAAAGCCATCCCATTTCTTGCCTYAGGCTACAAATATATGCCCTCTGCTAAGGAATTGTGAGAGAAGTAAAACAATGAAAAAATTACATTAGTTAAAACAAAACAAAACAAAACAATAAACATAACAAAAAACCTGGAAAGTGAACTGACAACTAACTGCTACTTATAGACTGATGATTTAAAGTTTTAGGGCAAGCACATACTTTATTAAAAAAAAATTTTTAAATTATACATAGACACAATATCTTTGTTTTTTGACTTTTAAGTGGTGCTGAGGATTGAACCCAGTGCCCCACATGTGGGAGGCAAGGGCTCTGCCACTGAGCCATAACCCCAGCCCAGGCACATACTTTAAATCAGGTTTCAAAACTGGAAAAAGCCCAAATTAACTAGAACTGTATAGGTTAGTCTAATCAATGCTATAATTGATCTGGTATGGGCAGAAGTGGCAGTAAATATTTCTTGAAACTTAATTAGGACAATGACAGAAACATATTGGATGAAAAATCAGAGATATGTACGCAAAGAATATGATCCAGAGGCAAGAAAAAAAATCCTGAATTTAATTTGGCAAGTTTCATTATCATATCTAAAGAAAAGAATGTATATATTAGAAAATGAGAATATCCAGGTGTGGTGGTGCATGCCTGTCAATGAGTTGGGAGGCTAAGGGAAGAGGACTGAATATTTGAAGCCAGCCTCAGCAACTTAATGGGACCCTCAACAACTTAGGAGACTCTGTCTCAAAATAAAAAATAAAAATAAAATAAAATAAAACTGGGGATGTAGCTCAGTGGTAAAGTGCCCCGGGGTTCAATCCCCAGTACCAAACAGATAGAAAAAGAGAATGACTGCCAATTATATAAAATCAAAGACATTAGTATCACCTGGAAGGGAAGGTGTGTTTTGATCCACAGTCACCTAGTCTTGAGGACAAGTATACATTGCAATTTTGGACAATACCTCAAGTTATCATATCCTGGTGTATTAAATATCTTATTTTGCCTCTGGATCATATTCTTTGCATATATATCTCTGACTTGTCATCCGGTATGTTTCTGACATTGTCCTAACTCAGTAAGTTTCAAGAATGATTTGCCACTTCTACCCATACCGGATCAATTATAGCATTGATTAGACTAACCTATACAGTTCTAGGTAATTTGGGCTTTTTCCAGTTTTAAGACCTGATTTAAAGTATGTGCCTGGGCTGGGGTTATGGCTCAGTGGCACAGCCCTTGCCTCCCACATGTGGGGCACTGGGTTTGATCCTCAGCACCACATAAAAATCAATGAACAAAATAAAGATATTGTGTCCATGTATAATTTTTTAAAAAAAATTAAAAAAGTATGTGCTTGCCCTGAAACTTCAAATCAAATCAGTCTATAAGTAGTATTAAAATTAGTACTCTGTACTAATTCCATGCTTGACAAAACCATCATAATTTGGTTTCCTATAAATATCTTCTGAAAGAATGCCAGCCCATCCAATACAAGAAGCCTGATTTATATAACAGGCATAATTCTTACAGAAAGAATTACTGGATATTCTGATGCAGTCTGTTCTGACTTTGTTTAATGTAAATCAGTATATTCCTATATTAATATTCTCATCATTTCTGGGAATGGATAAAATTGAGCTTCCATATCTGGGAAATCTTTACCTGGACCAAGGTAATTTATACCCTTTGAAGTACCCTGGCAGACATCCAACTGGGTTTTACTCAATGACAATGTTACATTCCCCTGCTGCAAACTTCTTTAAAGTAGTACCAAGTTTAAAATAAAAAATTTTAGCACTGTGTAGTATATTACCAATAAGTCAGACCTAATTTTCAAGCTAGAATATTTAAATTTTGAAGCAAAGTAATTACTTTTGTTCAGTGATATGCAAATTTTAAATGTTGGCTTTTCCTAAATGTATACACTCTTAAGCATTTTTAAGAAGTAGAAAAGAGGCATCTCTAATTTTTTACCAAAATTGTGTAATATATCACTTTTCCAAAATTTCTTGATTACATCTGTTATGACACTTGCTTTATGATCATTATGACTGTTATATCAAGACTAAAAACAAAATGCAAGTGAGTTCCAATACTGAATATGACCAACTTTTATCTTTACAGAGGCAACCATCTACACCATGACATAAAAGCATCAAGAAAATGATTTAAATAAGTTTGAACATCTTATTCATTTGCTCAAGACCAGAATCTACTTCAGTTATGAATAAAATACTTGTGGCATAGGCATATGTTTTCTTAAGACAGCACTCCTTCCTGAATTGTTGCCACTGCAAACCTTCAGAGAGGCCAAGATAATTTCATTATGGTGTTCTGTAACTCTGCTCAAAGAACTGGGACCTCTCATTAGAAAGTCATCATGGTCTATAGATTCTGTCAGAAGAAAATGTCATAGCCAAATGATTAATTAAAAACCCAAACACACAATAAAAACATTTTGACTTTATTGTCTTAAAAAACCCACAGAGCTGCACACAAATAATGGCAGAGCAGTAGGAATAAAATGAGTTCAAAGAATTGTTATAACCTGACAAAAGAACACAGTGGTTGCATTTTCTGGTGTTCCAAATGGACAAATACACCCACTCATTAACATAAAATTCTTTGCTAAATTTTCTAATCTATGAGACCTCCAGGAAGGTTGGCTTCACAAAAATTATAGGTCTATTAGAAGTGTCAACTTATGATTATTTTTATCTATATAGAAGTCTAGAGAAATATCACATTGTGAAGAGTGGGAGGTAGTAGGGTAAAAACTGACAATATTTCTGAATTAAATTTCTCTGGGATATTCTATAGAAACTTTTTTTTTATATGCTTCCAGATATAAGCATACACAATGCCATCTCAAATCCAGTAGGAAAAGAGTAGGCAGACTTGAGTACGTGCCAATTACTAATACCCTCTTAACTCAACAATACCAGGTCTCTCTCTTTTTTTTTTTTCCCACTATGAATCTTTTTTTTAAAAATTTTTTTTTAGTTGTAAATGGATACAATATCTTGATTTTTATTTATTTATTTTTATGTGGTGATAAGGATTGAACCCAGGGCCCCACACATGCAAGGCAAGCGCTCCACTGAGCTACAATTTCTTTCTTTTGCACGGTAAGACTATCCATACCTTCTCCCACTCCAGTTCAGGTCTTCGTTGCTTCTCAGTCTTTACTACCTAGTTGGCAGCCACAAACCCAGCCCTGTCTCTTTCAAGTGTCAAATAAATTCCAGTCTAAATTCCAAGACTATGTATAATCTGGTCTTATACTTGGCACTTCTCAAGATGTCTTTCTTTGCTAGGTCTTAATCCTGCCATTTTTATTCTTTTTTTTTTTTTTTTGGCATTGGGAATTAAGTCCAGGGTGCTTTATCACTGAACTACATACCCAACCCTTTTAATGCCTACGCTAGCCTGGAACTAGCAATCCTCCTGCTTCAGCCTCCCAAACTGCTGGGATTATGGGCATGTGCCACTGTGATCAGCTTTCATTCCTTTCATTTATGTTTCTTCTCCATTCCCTATCACCATATTTCCTAGGTTTACTCAGATTGTAGTCATTCTTTAAGGTCTAGTTCAAATCCCATCTTCTCCATTAGTTTTCCTGAGCATTCTCTCTTATACTACTCTCCCTTTTCTTAACATGAAAATACCTATCCTCATTTCACAATTTAACATACTCTTATATAATATAATACTGTATATTACAATAATATGCTATCTTTAAATTATTTGCAAATGTTTTATATGCTAATGCAACTTTTATAAAAGAAAGTAATATAGTTCTGTATCTAATATTATCTAAAAATTTTCTGTTGTCTGATTTTTTTCAGATCTGGTTCTGAAAGTCTACACCAGCTTTAATCCCACCTGTGTACCAAATGCATGTAAAATAAAATAAAATAAAATAAAATAAAATAAAATAAGTTATTTGAAAAGAGAATTCCTTAATTTACCAATTCGAGTGCTAGAAGGCAGTTCTTATAGCATGTCACTGAACAGCAGGAGTCAAATCATACCCAATAGAGTCTGAGGGGGGTGCAGAAGGGGATGATCCAGATGTAAGGGCAGTCTCTGCTAAGGAGGCCTCCTCCTGTGGTATTGGGTGGTGTTCAAAGAACTTGGAGACAAACAGCAAACTGTGAGGCAAAAACAAAACAAAACAAAACAAACCTAACTTGTGCAAAACCCAGAAGCTTCAGTACATCAGAATACATAGTTATTGGGAAAATATGAGATCAAATTCTACTTTGAGAAATAATTGTTAAATTTTAATTAGTTGTATTTTTGTCTAAAGACTTATTAAAAATATTACATTGTGTTTTCAAAGGCAAGCTCAGAGTCTAACTAATTGTTCTTGTCAGCAAATTTCTACATATTAGAAGGGGAAAACTCATGCTTCATAGTTAAAGAATTAGAAGAACAAGTATCTATTGCTAAATTAGATTATATTATCATAATTTACTTTAAAGTATGGAGTTAAATACTATTTGCTCAGGAAGTGATCAGGAAATATACAAGACCTTAACAGAAGAAACAACAATAATGACAGAAAAGAGATTATAATAGATTTGGACTAATCTATTAGAAAAACTCCAGCATAAAGCAAAAAGAAATTTTAGGAAGGAATAAACTGGGTATGAAGATTTTATACCTTACTTTTAAATAAACTGGGGAAGGAGGCACAAAGTGGGGGAGAAAGAGAGGGAGAGAGAAAAGGGGAGGGGAGAGAAAGAGAGAATATAAAAGTAGTTCACAAAGTAAATCACAGATTAGACCTCAAACTATAATGGTCAACTTAATTGAAATGACACATCAGGTCTCTTCCCACAAACTATCCAAAAATGATTTCTATGGACTAGGGGTCTTTATTAATTAAAAACGAATATAAAATATAAATAAAATGTATAGCTGAACCTGAACTACAATTTGGGAAAGAAGTTCTGGCATTTCCATGTTATTGTACGTTACAAGCTATTCTTTAATCATACTTTAAAAAATTCCTTGTAAAAACTACACTGGACAGAAAATCCTTCATGGACTTTCAAGACAACTAGTTTTATAATATGAAAGAGAGGTTCTTTTGGATTACTTACTCAAGTTGGTCATAATTAACACACATCAGTGGAACCTCTGTACTACAACGCTGGTGAAATTTATAACCACATGTTTGACAGCGGAAACCTTGGAAAAGCAGCTTTCGACAAAAGTCACAAAATGCTAAGGTGAAAAAAGTTTTTCGTACCTACAAAGTAAAAAAAAGCAGAGAATTTCAAAAGCTTGAAAGAACCCTTTTAGAAATTAGCATATTTAACAAAGTCTTAATACATTTGTATCATAAAAACTTACATTCTAAAATATAAACATGAAAACCAGAGGGTTCAAGATAGTAGATGGGTTGGGCATGGTGGCACATGCCTGTAATCCCAGAAGCTTGGGAGGCTGGGGCAGGAGGATTGTGAGTTCAAAGCCAGCCTCAGCAAAAGTGAGATACTAAGTAACTCAGTGAGACCCTGTCTCTAAATAAAATACAAAAATAGGGCTGGGGATGTGGCTTAGTGGTTGAGTGCCCAAGTTCAACCCTGGGTACTACCCCCCAGTAAAAAGATAGTAATGGGCAACATGCATTTATCTTCTATCCCAACACCCAAATTAAAAACTCAGAAGTCAAGAAGAATGAGAAACAAAAGACTAGTAAAAGATTTCAGCTTCACAACATAAATATAGAGGCAGAAAATGAGAGAATAAAGGCAAAATGATGGAGAAAGAAGGGTATAATTTAATTATTGTACAAAGAGGAGAGAGAAGGAATGCTGACTGGTGTTGATGAAACAAGAACACCAGTTACAAAGATGTCCAATGGAGGCCAGGCATGGTGGCACACGCCTGTAATCTCAGTGGCTTGGGAGGCTGAGACAGGAGAATCTTAAGTTCAAAGCCACCCTCAGCAACTGTAAGCTCCTAAGCAACTCAGTGAAAGTCTATCTCTAAATAAAATACAAAATAGGGCTGGTGATATGGCTCAGTGGTCAAGTACCTCCTGAGTTCAATCCCCGGTACCAAAAAAATAAAAATAAAAAGATGCCCAGTTGAAGAAGAGAAATTTAAAAAATAAAGAGAGAGAAAAGGAGAAGAGTGCAATGCTAATATCTAAACTTGATAAAGCAAGAAACTGGCTAAAAATATTTAGTGATATGACAGCAGTTATCCAATGAGCTCAAAACAAACTATTAAAAATGAACAGTAGTCTCCTCTGGAGAGGGTTAAGGAGAGCAGAAGTGGAGAGGAAGAGTGAGAGAATACAAAGATGATTTAAAAAATAGGTGAAAGAATCAGAACCTATCACCTGTGGTTCAAAAATAAAATGATTAGCTTAACTGAAATGACACTTCTTCTAAAAATTACCAAAAAGTGATTTCTATAGGTTAGGGTCTTTTAATTAAAAGATAATATATATAATGTACAGCTAAATCAGAAATACAACTTGAGACAGAAATGCTGTTCACTACATGTTACTTTCTAACTACACTTTAAATGTCAAATAGTGCACAGAGATTTTTTTTTTTTAAAGTAACTTTCTGAGGTTGATTATAATTAATGTACACCAGTGAAAACAAGGCTGGTGAAATTTAGCATTAGAAGCTAGCAAGGGATGGGGCAACAGATACTTATTAATTATAAGCACCTCTGCACTTCTTTTGTTTTTGGTACTGGRGATTGAACCTAGGAGTGCTTTACTACTGAGCTCTATCCCAAGCATTTTTCATTTTTTGAGACAGGGTCTCACTAACTTGCTGAGGCTGGCCTTGACCTTGTGATCCTCCTGCTTAGCCTTGAGTCACTGAGATTACAAACATGTGCAACTGTGCTTGGCACCTCTGTACTTTTTTAAAGCATATACATGTACCATTTGGGTACAAATATAAAATAATAATTTATAAAAGACAAAAACTAGCATACGAAAATCAGAACTAATTTGGATGAGGGATAAGAAAATCATCTAAATACAAATTTTAAAAAAATTATTTTTTGGTCACAGGGTCTTGCTGTGTGGCCCAGTTTGATCTCAAAGCTAAGATACTTCTGCCTTAGTTAGCTTCCCTTGTTGGTATTCCAGGAGTGGGCCACCACACACAGCAATAAAAAATACTTTTACAAACTATCAATTGTTGGGGGATTAGAATATTCAGGCAATTTAAACTTATTAGTGAATATTTATTTAYACCATACTTAAAAGGCAATATATAAAAATTCCCTGTCAAAAGGCAAGTGATATATAACATGGATAACAAAAACAAAACTCTGCTAGGGAAAATCCATCTTACCAAAGATAGAATTGCTTAAAATGTACATGTTTTGAGTATACAATGAATAGAAAACATAAGATGGACACACAAATACAAAACTCTTAATAATGACTATTTCAGAGTGTCAAGAATATGGATGACTCCTGTCTTATTCTTTGCTGTAAATTCTCAATCATCTCAGTTTTTCAAAATTTCAATCACAAATAATAGTAATAAATATATTTTACCTTATGACCCAGTATATACCTGTAATCTTAATAATGCTTACCTGGATATATAATGAACTTCTGAATCTATTCTATTAGATACAGATGCTTTTCATAATACATTACATTGATTCTAATACCAACATTGTTTTCAATCAACATTAATGGAAGTCATTTAAAAAGTGTTTCATCAAAAAAATTATATTCTGACACACAATCCTTTTTGAGAACATTTATACAGTTTTAAAAGTGACATTTGTTTTCTTCAACTTTTTCCCCCTATGTGTCACTTTCTAGGGGATATGAAAAAGCCAAATTCTTGTTTATGGCTTTGTTCCTTTTCCATTTGTCTCTGGTTAGATAAGAAATTAAAATATCTTCTTTACTACTTTTTCTGCAGCCATTACTTACCAAACTAAGCATCTTTTACACTTCTGGCAGAACTTCAGCAAATAGCATAGAAAAGTATGTTTTCAAAGTATCAATATTTTTCAGTCATCTGATTCTTTTTGCTCACCACACATACTCACTCACCTGATAACTTACTGTTTCATGAAGCCCTCAATTTCCTCTTCCTTCATTAAACTACTCAACTGCTTTTATTCCTATCATTAAACCATATACTATATGTGTGTGTGTGTGCGTGTGAGTGTGTGTATGTATGTGTATATATATGTATTTTCTTTTAAATTTGTTCATAAATACACAACAGTAGAGAGTATTTTGATATGTTATACATACATGGAGTATAATGTCCCATTCTTGTGGTTGTATTTGATGTGGAGTTTCATTGGTGGTGTATTCACATATAAACATAGGAAAGTTATGTGCAATTTATTTTACTGTCTTTCCTATTCCTATCTCCCCTTCCTTCCCTATTAAACTATATTTTAAAACTATGTATAACTGGTTGGTTGTGCACATAAAGGAGGAAAATGAGAGAAGAAAAGTAAGAGGGAGGGATAAACGGGGGAAGGAAAACATCTGAGGGGGAGAAAATATGTGAATATGCATTTGAGCATAAATTTTAAGCAACATGTTTGGATCTGTAAGGATACCTTCTGTCAATAAGATGGGCACAGGAAGATCTATCTTTCTTCTGGTTCACAGCTCATTATGCTTCATCTGGAATTTGAGCATAACTATGTATGTACAGTAAATTAGTGGAAGGCCACACACTGTAACATTTAGCTTATGTGAGGCTCGAGCAAATGCAAAAAGCAGACAGGGAAAAGACTGAGGGAGAAGCTCAGTATCCAGCTATTTCTCCTCCTACTTTCATCTCCACAGTCTTCAAAAACATTTACACAAATGTGTATACAGATTCTGTTGAGCCCTGTATATAACAGGTTTTTGGAAAATATAAAAATTTAAATAAATGCTATTAATAGAAGAACGGTTAGGTACACCAAATTTCTATTCCTATGAACTATTATGCAATTGTTAAATAAAGCTAAGTGTAATGACATAATTTAGTCTATAATATCCTGTTGAATAAAAAAATAAATAAAAAAAGGTGAGGAATATCACCAGAGCATGGAAAGTAATGAAGCAGGAGAAAAAAAATGAGAAAGGAGAAAACTCTGGGTTTACAGTTATAGGCATATGTTTGTGTATTCATTTACCCAGTTAGTCTATACAAATGTTGACCTGTAGGAGGGGGATTTTCATTTTTTTACTTCATATACTTTTTTGCAGCATTCCAATTTTTTCTCTTAATAACAGACATGTATTTCTTTTTAAGTTAAAAAGAAATCAGGATGAAAATAAACCTCTTTAAACAAAAGTTTAAAGAACAAATTTTCAACTTATGTAAAATGTCAACACAAAATGAGTCAACCATTTTCATATTCCTCAATAAAAATACATTCATAAGGATTTGAACATTTTTGAAATGCCAAAAATGTAAAGGTACATACAAAGTTGTGTGTTGTAAGTGGAACATTTTCCAACACTTCTACATGCAATTCTTCCCCTGTAAGCCAGGAAATATCAGTGTCCCAGCCAATTGGTTTCTTCTCTCTGAAAAATATAGACATAAGTCTTTCTTGGTTACTGTACCTAAGAATACTCACATGCCTAATGCTGAAGATATGAAAATTGGTTATTGAGGGGCTAGTAATTGGGAGGCTTGGCACCCTGGTCTTCAATCTTCAGAAATTTAAATGGCAATAAATTTTTAAGTTTACCCAAATAACGTATCACTCTTAGACATATAGCAGGGTAAAGAGATGTACTCTTTTCCAGAAAAGACATACAACAGTAAAAAATTGATCATTCCTGTCTTCTCCCTCAAAAAAAAAAAAAAAAAATCAAAGGTATGGACTTATCTATTCAGAGAAAAAGAGGCACCATATGCCCTCCAAGACATGATTGAAAATTTGGATTCAAAATCTGAGAGTCTTAGAACAATGTTAGATACTTTCTGAAAGAAAAAGTTTAAAATGTTAATTTTGATAAACTTTTTTTGAGAGCATGAGTTTGTATTAAAAATGAGGGAGTGGAGCTGGGCATGGTGGAGCATGATTATGCCTATAATCCCAGCAAATTGAAATTTTGGAAAATATAAAAATTTAAATAAATGCTATTAATAGAACGGTTAGGTACACCAATTTTTTTTGAGAGTATGAGTTTGTATTAAAAATGAGGGAGGGCTGGGGGTGTGGCTCAAGCGGTAGCRCGCTCGCCTGGCATGCGTGCGACCCGGGTTCGATCCTCAGCACCACATACCAACAAAGATGTTGTGTCCGCCGAGAACTAAAAAATAAATATTAAAAATTCTCTCTCTCTCTCTCTCCTCTCTCACTCTCTCTTTAAAAAAAAAAAAATGAGGGAGTGGAGCTGGGCGTGGTGGAGCATGAGGCTGAAGCAGGAGGATCTCACGGTCAAAGCTAGCCAGCAGATTAGTGAGACACTTAGCAACTCAGCAAGACCCTGTCTCTAAATAAAATATAAAAAAGGGCTGGGTATGTGGCTCAGTGGTCAAGTATCCTGGATTTAATTCCCGGTACTAAAAGAAAAAAAAAATGAGGTAGTGTATAAGGATTCATTATCCAAGTAAATCTCATTCTATGGTTGAAAAATCAAAAAAATCTCAAACTCCAATAAAGTCATTTGATTAGAATAACAAATATCATAGTTAACACAAAATTAATTAACTCAGTACTAATTTAAAAATTTCCCCTAAAGTTGCTTTTCAATCCCCTAGGTTTGGGTACAGATCCTACAGAAAACTCCAAAGTTTAATGTCTGATTTTCTTTGTAACAAAATTTCACAACACATACAAACCATACCCATCCTGAATTCTGTAAACAGCACAGCACTCTGGGATAAGACCTCGCATCATCAGTGCTTTCTTTAGACTGTCTCGTACTGTAACTCCACACCTTGCAGGTACCTACAGTATAAATATATGTAAGAGGGAAAAAAATTTTTTTCATATCATTGAGGAAAAAACAAAACCCCAACAACAACAAAACCCTCAGTAATTTATCTTCCTAACACAAATCCTTTATAATATCATGGATTACTAGGTTAAATGCGATATCATTTCTTATAGCTCACTTAATATTACAGGGAATTATAACCAAAATATCTATTATTTTTAATCTTACTGATCCAGATCACAATTTGATTTTTGGTCTTTTATTAAAGTTATAAAATATTTTAAAAAGGAACAGAAAATATAATTGTACCCATTATAATATATCCATCCATACAATATACCTACCATTGAGAAAAAATAGATGTCAGCATTTAAAGTAAAATCAATTTTGGTCCAACATTGTTCAAAGTTGAAAACTGTGCAATCCTTCAATCACACTGATAGTCCTTAAGAGACATCTTATTGACCCAAAACACAATAGGAAGAAAATACTTGTCTTAATGTGCATAATTGATATTTGTTGTTTAGTTACCCAGTGCCCCTATTTCCTCTGGGAACTTGCCTCTCTCTAGAAATCCACATGTCATTAGAGAGGCTATATCAATCTAGAGGCATTACTTTTCTAGCTACAGATGACATAAGTTGGCCWATGAGCTCCCTATATCCCTAGCAATACAACTAGCTTAAAGCTAGATATATGACATAAACAGCACCCGACTTATTCCCTAAACCAATATGTGGACATAGGTTGAGAGAAGTCCCTATTTCTACTGCAGTTACAGTAGGCCTAGAGAATACAAATCTGGACACTTCAGGGTGGCCATCTTCCTAGTAGGTAGTACACTGAGAAAATCTGGTCACAGAATAAAGCTAATATAGAAAGAAGTACAGATGACTCTGGGAATGGGGAAGGGTAAGGCAAAGGAAAGAGATAGTTACGCTTGGCCTTTTCCCATGTTCATATCCCCAGGTGAATTTAGCATAGACTAAAGAGAGGCAGTGGGACTACAGGGAGTGCAGTTTTTGCTAGGGGGTGGCATAAGAAGAAGGTGATGTGTTAGTTATTTAAAATAAAAATTAATCATCCCATACATTTAAATCACTTCAAAGTACTTAGCAACCCAAATGTTTCCAAAGAATTGGGAATTTTTATTTGAGGTGGTGAAAAACGGAACAAAGATGAATATAAGACAGCTGAATTTAAGCAGTATATTAAAGAAGGAACAATACAGAAAGTTTAATTAGAAGCTGTGATTGGAAATAAAAGGAGATAGATTTTAGCTCAATATAACCATTAAAACTATCCAGCAAGGGAAAAGCTTATCATGAGGGAGAGGGTCCTTCATGAGAAGTATTAAAGAAGTGACTGGATTGGTACAATTGATCTCATTATTTGTGGAATCCTTATTTGTGAATTTGTCTACTTGCTAAAATTTTAATTCTGAAATCAATACTTGTATTGTTTTTGAATGAGCAGAACAGTGAAAATTTTGTGCCATTTGATGCATATATCTTCCTAGTAGTTACTATTTTATTTCAGAAGGTCAACCTTGTTTTTAAGCTTCCACATTTTTTGACATTACAATACTTCCATTAAATCTTATTTGTACTGTTTAATCTAATTTTAGGCTTACATATCTTTAATATTTTTGGTCCCTGAAGCATTGTGTTTTATTTCTGTTCTCTTCATCTTTTCTTTCTTCTATTTTGACACAGACCCTTATAGAATATGTACATACCTTTTCCTATCTCTAAAGGCAATAATCCTGGCTACTTTCTCTTTTCTCTACTATTGCTATTATTGTTCAAAAAGTGTTTTTTTTTATTGTTTCAGACCTCTGGCATTGTGTTTGTGCATGGCATTTAAGACAATTTATAAAAGCAGATTTATTCTTCCAAAAGGTATACAAAAGCTGATAACCACATGAAGATACTTGATATCCTTAGCTATCAGGGGAACTGAAAACAAAAGAACCACAATGACATACTCTTCCATACCTGCTAGGATAGTTGTAATCAGAAAGACAAATATGAAATAAATGTTGGCAAAAATGTGGAAAAAACTGAATCCTCAAGCTGGTGAGAAAGTGTAATCATGCAGGTATTTATGAAAACATCTTGGCAATTCCTCAAAAGGTTACTAGAAGTATATACCCAAGAAAGATAAAAATATATACCCACATAAAAACCTGTACATAAATGTTCATAGCAGAATTATTTCTAATAGCTAAAAAGTAGAAGCAACACAAATACCATCAACAGATAAATATATAGATAAAATGTTATATATACATCTAATAGAAGGGGATATTATTTTGCTATAAAGAGGGAACAAAAGAGCTGGCATGGCAAAATCCACCTGTAGTCCTAGGAGGGTAAAGCAGGAGGATCCCTTGAGTCTAGGGGTTCAATATCCCACCTTAAAAACAAACAAACAAGAAAGAAAGAAAGAAAGAAAGAAAGAAAGAAAGAAAGAAAGAAAGAAAGAAAGGAAGGAAGGAAGGAAGGAAGGAAGGAAGGAAGGAAGGAAGGAAGGAAGGAAGAAAAGGGGAGGAGAGGGGAAAGGTAAGCAGAGAAAGAAGACTGGAAGGACTGACACATTATGCCATGGATGGACCTTGGCAACATGCTAAGTAAAAGAAGCCGCATACTTCATGATTACATTACACAAACTGCCAAGAGTAAACACACAAATCTACAGAGATAGAAAACAGATAAGTAGGGGCTAGGACTGTAGCTCAGGGTAAAGTGCTTGCCTAGCATGTGTGAGGCACTGGGTTTGATCCTTAGCACCACATAAAAACAAATAAAATAAAGGTATTGTGTCTATCTACAACATATAATTTATATATATATATATATATATATTACATATATATATATATATATATATAGGCAACCACTTACCTACATTATTTTATATATTATTTTATATATTACATATATATAAAAAGAAAGTAGATAAATGGTTGCATGTGTATATATATATAAAGTAGGTGATGGTTGTATTACTCTTAAGTATGAGTATACAAAAACCATTGTTAAATGGGTGAAATGTATGATATTTGAAGTATCTAAATGTATCTTTAAAAAAAGGAAATTCTGTCTTTTGAATTATAAACTCAAGAAGGAAGACTTAGGACAAGTCACTGTCTGGGGTAACTGGACAAATCTAACACTTTTAATTTTTTTATTATTATGTTTTGCACATAAACACACAGAGAAAAAGATATGTATCTCAGGCCTAATAGTTCAAATTATATTGGATTTCCTATCTTCAATATTTCCCTTTTGGTCCCTTCTGCATTCAGTTTTATTCTTGTTTTCTTCATTTCTCTTTCTCTTACTGTGACATAGGTTCTTATAGAACTCACACCTTTTCCTTTGACTGTTGAGAAAAATTTTTCTGAGCTAAGAGTCATGCATGGCTCCTGCCTATAATCCCAGCAACCCAGGAGGCTGAGATGACAGGAGGATTGCAAGGTTGAGGCCAGGCTCAGCAAGTCGAGGCTCTAAGTAACTTAGTGAGATCCTGTGTCAATATAAAATAAAAAGATGTGGCTCATTGGTAAAGTGTTGGGTTCAATTCCCAGTACCAAAAACAAAAGCACTTTGCTTTTCTGATTTTAAGGTATTACAAAGTTCTAAGTGTGCATATTATATGACCAAATAATTATTTCTAGGTATTTAATCTATAAAAATATTCTCAGTTTCAGGATTTATATTTAAACATATATTGCAGCATTACCCAATTATTCATCAAGAAAGAAATAACTATCAGATATTGCAATATATATATACATATATACATATTCATACAGCTATTCAGTATATACAGTTAATATACAAAGATATATAGTGTATCTTTATTTGTGCATTACCCTAAACTACCATAAAGTACAGTTTTGCATTATGTGAAAGAAGGGTATTAAGTATAAAGTAAAAAGTTAGTTTCTCTTGTTCCAGACAGTATTCCCAACCCTGAGACAACCACAATCAATAGTTTTTTATACATGATTCAAAGATAACTCAATGTTTATCCTTATTTATTTATTTATTTATTTATAACAGAAAAATACATTACAATTCTTACTACATATATAGAGTTCAATTTTTCATATCTCTGGTTGTATACATAGTATATTCACACCAATTCATGTCTTCATACTTGTATTTTAGATAATAATGATAATGTTTATTCTTTTTAACCACTGTTTTTATTTATGAGATAAGACACCAGGTTTATATGCTTTTATTTTCAGAAAAAAATGTTATTTTTAATACGATGAATAAAAATTCATAAAATCTGTGAATTACTTCTTAAAATTATACTTCTGATATTTGCCACAAATTTTGAAAATAAAGAATTTAAAACCACCACTGTGAAATAACCACTACAACTTTTAATAAAGAAATTTTAACTGTACTTGAATTTTTAAAAATATTTTTTAAGTTATACATTGACACAATTTCTTTATTTTGTTTATTTTTATGTGGTGTTGAGGATCGAACCCAGGGTTTCTCACGTGCGAGGCGAGCGCTCTACCACTGAACCACAACCTCAGCCCCTGTACTTGAATTTTAACAGGATAAAAAAGAGTAGATCAAAAAATTGAACTCCAAGCAAATACTTCTCACTAAAACAGGCCATCCCTTGAAAAGGTCTCTAGAGGGTAGTCTTTTGCTCTTCCATATAAATATTAGAGAATTAGCTTGTCAGATAAGGCAGGGAAGATGGATAAGACCATTTAGAATTTAAAAAACTTTTTAAAAAAATTTTTTTTAGTTGTCAATGGACCTTTATTTTATTTATTGATTGATACGTAGTGCTGAGAATAGAACCTAGTGCCTCACACAAACTAGGCAAGCGCTCTGCCACTGAGCTACAACCCCAGCCCCTATTTAGATTTTTAATGGATCTGCACAGAATTTATAGACTAATGAGGGGAGAAATATAATAGGGAAATAATCAGAAATAAAGTTACTTTTTCTTTTAAAATATATTTCAATAAAATTGTACACATTTTCTTCACAAAGCTTCCCACATATTATTGTATCTGTTAAAATTGTTAAAGAAGGGTATTAAGCATGAAATAAAAAGTGTTTCTCTTGTTCTGTTAAAATTGTCTATGGGGAGGAAGTGAGGACAACGTCCCGGGCCAGCGTTGGGTCCCTGAAGCCAGGGAAAATGGTGTTACTGACGATGATCGCCCGAGTGGCAGACGGGCTTCCACTGGCCGCCTCCATGCAGGAGGACGAACAGTCTGGCCGGGACCTTCAACAGTATCAGAGCCAGGCTAAGCAACTCTTTCGAAAGTTGAATGAACACTCCCCTACCAGGTGTACCTTGGAAGCAGGAGCAATGACTTTTCACTATATTATTGAGCAGGGAGTGTATTATCTGGTTTTATGTGAAGCTGCCTTCCCTAAGAAGTTGGCTTTTGCCTACCTAGAAGATTTGCACTCAGAATTTGATGAACAGCATGGGAAAAAGGTGCCTACTGTGTCTAGACCTTACTCCTTTATTGAGTTTGATACCTTCATTCAGAAAACCAAGAAGCTGTACATTGACAGTCGTGTTCGGAGAAACCTAGGCTCTATCAACACTGAATTGCAAGATGTGCAGAGAATCATGGTGGCCAATATTGAAGAAGTGTTACAACGAGGAGAAGCACTCTCAGCATTGCATTCAAAGGCCAACAATTTGTCCAGTCTGTCTAAGAAATACCGCCAGGATGCGAAGTACTTGAACATGCGTTCCACTTATGCCAAACTTGCCGCAGTAGCTGTATTTTTCATCATGTTAATAGTGTATGTGCGATTCTGGTGGCTGTGAAGTAGTGAATCCAGTCATTGATAAGGGAGAACCTAGAACCTGGCAGGTRTAAGTTTTCAGGAAGCTGAGCTCACAGAAATGTGTATTAGAATCCAAGTGGAACTTCTGCCTCTAAAGACCTTGCAAGAAAAGACATCCTGAAAATGAAAGAGTACGCCTCATTTAATGAAGCTTAACCCTTTGTGGAAAGTCTCTTTTGGGGGCAGAGGCTTTCTCTGGGTGCTAAGCCATATATGTTAGGGAACAGTAGATTGTTTTATTGTTTTTTTCCCCTCCCAGTACATTTTTAACAGCACTGACTGGGCATTCTCATTCTCARTGGAGCCATTAGTGAGATTTAAGGTAGCCAATCTGTGCTAGCAATATTCTGAAATTCCTTCAAAGAAGGCAACCCTTTGGGAAGTTCTTTTGACTTTAATCAACATTCCTTTTGTTGGTAACATTTGTGATTTTCAGTAATCTGAGTTTTTTCTGCCTTTCAAACAAGACTCCAAGTATGTGAAGGTTAATTACTGTGCTGCACCAATCCTGTCTGTTGGCCCCTATAGGAATTAACCTTTGTTGTTTTCCTTTTATGATATTTTTGCTTGTTGCACAATTGCTGTAGGGTTAAATGAATTATATTAAGATGCCTTGAAATTATAAAGCACTTCTTGATTAAAAAAAATTGTCTATGGTACCATTTTTAAAGAGAATTACATGCATTAAGTGCTGTTTTCTTATTTAATAATTTGTTAATAAATTTTCTACATAGACACGTTATTTGCAAATAATGAGTTTTGTTTCTGTTTTATCCTTATTTTTTTATATCATTGATTCGATCCGCAGTGACCAGGAAATCCAATTTCATGTTGAACAAAAATGGCAGAAATAGACATTTGTCTTGCCTGTTTCTGAATTTAATGAGATTGTATCATTAAGTAGGATGCTTTTTAGACATTTTTGACATGATAATCTTATCAATAAGAAAGCTCTTTTATTCCAATTTTTTCTAATTACAAAAGGGTGTTAAATGTCTTTTGCTTATTCTATCTAGAGATGTTTCGTGCAACATTTTCCCTTTAGTCTGTTAATGTGAACCTTGAAGATTGTTAAAAACCATTATTAATTTAGAATTAATTTATTTAATTAATTTAGAAGAATTACTCTTCTAAATGATATACAATACTGGACTATTTGGCAATATTTTATTAAAGATTTTTGCAAATACTTTCACAAGTAAGACTAACCTTTATTTTTCCTTCATCAAATAATCTTGCCTGGTTTTAGAACCAATATATGCAGGCTCCATAAACTGAATTGGGAAATGTATTTTTATTTTTTTTTAATTAAACATTAAAATTTGTATATGACTAGCATTCTGCATTCCTTAAATGTTTTGTAGAATTTGCCTGTAGAGGCATAAATATAGACATTTTTTAATGTGATCACAGGCTGAACAGGGTCAGAATATGCCATTTCAAAATAAGTCACTTTAGTATAGAATTGTTTTAACTACAGACAACTGAGAAACAACAGATACTGAAAAAAGCTTTGCCAGAGTTTTCTTTATCTGATTTAAGAAGCAAGTTCTGAGAAAACTAACAAATTTCTGCTCCTGGAAGAATCCAAAGTTTCATTGTTATGAGGAACATTAAGATACAACATTGAGAGGAATGTGAAAACAAATGTTACTAAAATAACCTTTACCTCCCATTAGTTTCCACTATATATTAATCTTCCTGTACTTACAGCCCCTAGAAAGTCCTTTGCCTTTTCATAGCTCCAGATTTCATTTTTTCTTGATCAGTATATAATCAGGCATATGCACTTATTGGATCTTCATTTATTGTATATGAAGACCTTGTATACACATAAAAAATATGAATATCAAGTAAAGCTTGTCTTTTTTCTTGTTAATGTTTTTTTTTGTAAGTCTAATTTCTAAGGCTCCAGTTGCACAAACTAAGAGGGCAGAAGAGATTTTCCATCTCCTACAAGACCTAGCCAAATTTTCGATTCCTTTTTAAATTCATCTCAGAAACACATTCATGTTCAATAAATCATTATTTATTTTCCTATTTTTTTTGTTCATTGGACTCAATTTTTAAAAATCTATACTRTATGATTATTATGGTACCTTTATGATCACTTACATTATTTCTATCTTTATTCTTGTTCCTTTTTGCCAGATTTATCAGTCTTTTTAAATACTCAACCTTTATTTTGCTATTTATTGTCATTTAAAAAAAAWTTTTTTAGATGCTGAGACCTTTATCCTATTTGTTTACTTTTATGYGATGCTGAGGATAGAACCCAGTGCCTCACACATGCTAGGCAAGTGCTCTACCACTGAGTCACAGCCACAGCCCCATCATTTTGTTTTGAATTTATTTATTTTTGCTTTTCCCCCCTAACTTAACAGTTACTTCATTGGTTTTAAATTTTATTTTGCAACAAATAAGGCTTTTTATCAATATAAATTTTCCTTCAAACGTTGCTTCAACTGTATCCTACAAGTTTCTTTCTTTTTTCCTTTTCTTTCTTTCTTTCTTTCTTTTTTTTTTTTTTTACATAAGCAAAAAAGGGTCTTTAGGGTTGTGGCTCAGTATAGGGCCTGGCATGTGTGAGGCACTGGGTTCAATTCTCAGCACCATAAATAAATAAATAAATAAAAATGTCCATCAACAACCTAAAAAGAAAGGTATTTATTGGTTCACATAACTGCCAAGTCCAGGGGGTATTCTAGTTTCACACACAGGTGGATCCAGGGGCACAAATGCTGTCATCAGGACTCAAGTCTATCCATCTTCTGGCTCTGTTTTCCTCTGCACTGGTTTCATTCTCAGAATGGCTCATGCAGCATGATAGGCCTTGTTGGTTTGAGTTTTTCATTCTACAAAGCTAAAGCCACCTCAGTAAAGAAAACTTCTTCACAATTCAGTAAAACTCCTAGGGTTAACAATGAACCAACTTGAGCCACACAACTATTCCTGAACCAATAGCTGTGATCAAGGACATGGATTTTGTTAATTGATAAGGTCTGAATTACATGTATACCCTCCTGAAGCCCAAGTATGGGTCACACTATCCAAATCACATGGATAGGAAGATACGGTTCCAAGAAATACCATGAAATTGTTACAATGAGATGGAATGAATGCTGGGCAATCAGAAATAAATGATGTTCGGGATACGACCAGATGCTGAAAAAACTTGATCTCTGCTCATGAATTTGGGTGCTAGCATTGTTTCTTCGTTGGAATTAAATTGTTTTAAAAATGACCATAAGGGATGGTTTTCCTGTCCTCAGGAAGCCTATAATCCATTTGAATGGAATAGTAATCATGTCAAATAGAGAATTTAGTATGATCTACAAGTACACTGTTCAAATACAATGCTTAGAATTCTGTTTTTTTTTTAATTAATTTAAGCATGACTTTTCTCCCCTTAATGATTCTTAAAATATTTTATATATACTTACATAACATCATCAGCTTTAAGGTTTTTAATTTAAAAAAAAGTATAACTGACATAGAACAAACACAATTATGTATATAGTACATGATTTTGTGTAGTTTATTGTGTATACATCCATGCAACCATCATTATTTTTAAGATAATGAATATATCCATCATTTTCTGAGTTTTCTTGTGCTTCTATGCAATGACTCCCTCCTGTCCTAATACCATGCCCAAATAAATCTTGATGTGCTATTCTGTCACAATTTGCATTTTCTAGAATTTTATATAAATGAAATTATAGAGTTTGTACTATGTCTGGCTTCTTTCAATTAGCATAATTATCTTGAGAGTCATCTGTTATATATATCAATTCATATCTTTCTATTGAGCAGTATTTCATTTTATGGCTGTACCAAAATTTAACCATTCACCTGATGGTTCATCTAGATTTGGGGTTATTATAAATAAAGCAACTAAGATCACTTATGTAAAAATCTCTGTATGAGCATATGCTTTCTTTTTTATTGGGTAAACACCTAAAAGAAAATGGCCGGGTATATTTAAGTTTCCACATTAACTACCATACTGTTTTATTTTTTTAAGTTGTGATAAAATATACACATAATGTAAAGTCTATCATCTTAACTACTTTTAAGCATTCAGTTGAGTAGTATTAAGTATATTCACAATGTAGTGCCTCCAGAACTCTTGCCACATTGTAAAATGATATTTTATACCCATTTAACAATCCTCATTGCTCCTCCTTCCAGTCTTTGGTAACCACCATTCTACTTTCTGTCTCCATGAATCTGAATGCTCTAGGTATGTCACAAAAGTAGATTATATAGGATTTATTCATTTTGGGACTGGCTCATTTCATTTAGAATAATGTTCCAAAGGTTTATCCATGTGGTGACATTCATCAGAATATCCTTCATTTTTAAGGCCAAATAGTATTTCATTGTATATAAATCATACTTTAAAAAAAATATATTCATCCATCAATGGACACTTGGGGTACTTTCCTCTTGTGGCTATTGTGAATACTGCTGCTGCTATAACATACATATACAAATATCTCTTCAAGACTCTGCTTTCAATTCTTTTGGTTTTATAACTTGAAGTAGACCTGCTGAATTGTGTGATAATTCTATTTTTAATTTTTTGGAGAACTTCTATAACTATAGTCAATAGCAGCTGTACCATTTTCTATTTCCACCAATAATGTACAAGGGGTCCCATTTCTCCAAATCCTTACCAAACCTGTGATTTTGTTAATTTGATAGTAGCTATCTTAATGGGTGTGGACTGGTATCTCATTATGGTTTTGATTTGCAGTTTCCTAATGATCCTAATGTTCTTAGTGATTGGCAAGGTTGAGTACCTTTTCATGTTTCTTGCCATTTGTATATCTTCTTTGAATAAACATCCATTCAAGTTCTCTGCCAATTTTTAACTTTTTTTGTTATTGACATATACATTCTACATTTTTAAAATATTTTTTTTTAGTTATACACAGACACAATATCTTTACTCTGTTTATTTAATTCTTTTAATGTGGTGCTAAGGATCGAACCCAGTGCCTTACATGTTCGAGGCAAGTGCTCTGCCACTGAGCCACAACTCCAGCCCCTATATTCTAGATATTAACCCCTTACCAGACACATGATATGCAAGCATTTTGCAACTCCAGGTTGCATTTTCACTGTTAACTCAAACCTCTGATGCACTGAAGTTACTGGGGATTAAATTCAGGGCCTTGCACATGATAGGTAAGAGCTCTACCACTGAGCAGCATCTCCAGCCCTGATGTTTTAAATTTTGATATAGTCCAAATTGTCCATTTTCACTAGTGTTACCTGTGCTTTTGGTTCGACAGACAAAATCATTACCAAATCCAACGCCACGAAGTTTTTCTCCTATATTTTCTTATAAAAGTTTTATAGTTTTAGCTCTTAAATGTGTTCAATCAATTTAAAGTTAACTTTTATATGTGGTTAAAGCAAGATTCCCATATCTCATTATAATTTTGCATGTAGATATCCAGTTTTCCAACATTATTTGATGAAGAGACACTCTCTTTTCCCCATGGAGTGGTCCTGGTATCCTTGTCAAAGATCATCTAACCATATCTGTGAGGATTTATTTCTGGGCTCTCTACGTATATATGCTATCTGCCAGTATGGCATTGTTTTGATTGCTGTAGTTTTGTAAAAA